GGCATTCGGGTGCATTATGAGTGGTGCTTCCGCATAACTCGCAATTTGGAGTTACTGCAGCGACAGTTGCAGTGGGGTTAACGGTCAGACTATCGATCTTCTGTGCTAGAGCATCTACTTTAGCGTTGAACTTTTCAAGACTGCTGATCTCGTACATCCCACCTTTCGCTGTGGTTTTCTCATTTGGAGTGCGTTCACCTCCCCATTGGCAATGGTTTCGTGACATGTTTTCTATTAATTGATAGGCTTCGTCGTATGGCTTATCCATAAGTTCACCGCCCGCGGCAGCGTCTATTGTCAATCTAGTATTGTATAGAAGCCCATTATAGAAAGTATGGATTGTCACCCAGTCTTCTAGACCGTGGTGAGGACATGTTCTCATCATATCTTTGAATTGTTCCCATGCTTCGTAAAGAGATTCAGTATCTTTCTGTCGAAATCTGTTGATTTGAGCTCTAAGCATAGCAGTTTTGCTTGGCGGAAAATATCTCGCTAAGAAGACGTTCTTCAATTGCTCCCACGTCGTAACGGAGTTGGATGGTAACGATTGTAACCATGTCCACGCTCTTTCTCTAAGAGAGAATGGGAAAAGACGAAGTCTTATCGCGTCTGGAGTTACTCCATTTGCTTTCACTGTGTCTGCATATTGTACAAACTTCGTTAGATGTTCGTTCGGATCCTCAGTTGCGTTTCCTGAGAATTGGTTTTGTTGTATAGCCGACAACAATGATGGTTTCAGCTCAAAATCATTTCGGGTAATAGCTGGGGCAGCAATGCTACTTCTAGGCTCCATCTGAGATGGTGTAGCGTATGCCTTCAGCGGTTTGTTTGGAGGTCCTTCAGCCATCTCTGGTTCTTCTTCTTCTGATTTAGGAATGGGAGTGAGAGGTTCGGGAGTGTTATGTTTGAGTTGTTTGAGTTGGTACTCAATGATTCTACTTCTTAAATGTAAAAAGCGTTCTAGTTCTGCGACTGAAGGTTTTACGATATCGCCTTGCGGGCGATTTCTTGGCATACAATCGACAGAACTAGTAAAGGAAAAATGAAAATTGTTAACCTAGTCTATACGGCGTAACAGAAGGTTACACTATTGACTAAACGGGTCCCCGGCAACGGCGCCAAAAACTTGATCGCGACTTTCTATGTCTAATACAACCTAACTGCAAGTGCACAGTCTATCGCGTAGTAATAATAGATATCGATCCCACAGGGACTCGTAATCAAACTAGTGTTCTCGGGAGTTACTATGTTTAGCTAGGTAGAATATGTTTAAGGGAATAAGATTGTCACTAAAAGGGAACTAAGAATACTATTTAGATTATAATTGATTTAATCGATACGTAGTAATTGTGTTCTTCAGGGATTTGATAAGTTACTGGTGTATGAAATAATTTTCAAAGTTTATTTAAGCATAAAATGGTGATTTGAAGACTCTCGCCTCACAATGGTTATTGACGCTAATCATAATCCTAAGGGCCAAACGTACACTTTCGTATCCCGTTCGGGGTTAAAATTACTTTTTGGAAATCTCTAAGTTCTAATTCATTTTAAAGTGCTTTCGCTGTTATTAAAATGAATGACTAGTGTTTACTATCTGACCTTACCGCAGCTTTCGCTTGTTGGTTCGTATCTTAATTAATTTCCCACTTTCGTGGCAAAACTACTTTTAAATAAGTTCTCGCTTTCGCGACGAAGTTTATTCAGTAAATCAATTTTAAACACTCAGACCATAAGTTACTTTTGAAAAGAAGGTTTTTCAACCAGTTGTTATCAAATCCCATTCGAATTATTACTACATATCGATTACCTAAGTTTAGCTAGACATGGATTTGGGAAAGATAAAATAAAAATAAAAATAATAAATAATGATTTGCATTATAATAAAACTGGAATCGATTGAAATGAGAAACCTGTAAATATGCCAATTGGCCTTTGGGCAGATCCTCCACAGATGTTGGCAGGATTCTGGTCTTTAATGCCAATTTGATCGTACAGCGAAAGTAGAAATTACAGAAGAATGAAAAATGGAATACAGGAAAGGTAAAGAGAAACAAATAAGAATATTGCTGGAAAATATGCTCTGGAAAATAAATTTGGCAGCACTTCGTTGTATGAATGCAACCCCCTTTCTGAAGTCCCCTGCTTGCCTTTTTATAGAAGTGGAATTCCAACGGTTATCCTTGGAGATGATGGACTTTGAGGCAGATAATTTAGGGAGTCATGGTCCACTCTGTGGGAATTGGAACTGATTCTTTAACGTGTAATTGAAGTGGGGCGTTTTTGCCTGCATGACGGTCGTCACAAGGTGTGACGGTCGTCATGGAGCTGTGACGGTCGTCACATCAGCAAAAACAGCTTCCTGCGCTTTTCATTGTGTTTTCACTCCTTTTTCGTCCATATTTCATCTGAGATTGCTTCTTTTCTTCATGTTGCCTTGTTTAGACGTGATCGTTGAATACCTGCAAAACATCAGACAAATAACACAGAAATAACCCGAAATCGGATCGAAAACGGTTAAACTTTAGTCGAATTATGCATAAAAATATCTATATGATTTCGTGTTATCAAATGGCGTTGCAGGTGGAAGATGCGGAAAAACAAGGGCACCGTGGCCTCCACCTCGAGATAAAAGCACACCACCTCGAACGCGCGGATAAAGGCCAGAGCGTTAGGATGCAGCTGGGACAGAGCCAAACGCAACCAATCGAAAAGGCCCAAATGGAAAGCGGAGAACGGCAATCTGAGCCGGGCCTCTTTGAAGTAGAACTCGTGCATGGGAAACATCCGCCGCCCATATCGCGAGCGGATGCGATGATGCTCCTTCGGGCGATACACCTGCCAGTGTTGCGGCTCCCCTTCAGGCGTATCCTCCATGGTAGCGTAGACATCAGACGCGTCCTCAGGGCATTCATCGAAACAACCAAACCCCCCCGGGGCATTCATCCAAACTAAACCGCCAGGTACGGCGGAACTCGCGTCTCTCCTCGGGTCGTTCATCACGCCCCGACCACAGACCCCAATTAAACGGCAGAAATAAAAGGAGGGAAGAGAGAAACTCACTTGTGACGGCGGCGAACGGGAGGAAGAACTAACGGCGCGGCGGCGACCCACAACAACGGCGGACGAGCAGGAATCTCAGAGTTTCGCAGGTAAGACAACAAGGTGGAAAGTAAAAAAGTGAGTGGGGACCCCCATATTTATAACCCGGCGCGGAACTCGAAGTGACACTAGGCTCTTAAATGACCTAGGGTAGCCGCCCTACTACCACTCAACGTGCGACACGTGACAGTAACCTGACGGTCGCGTCCCTTCATATACCTTTGCCCCTCTCTCCCGACGACAAGAAGACCCGCGTACGCGCGTTCCACCGGGCACAAAACCGACGAGCCTCCCACCTCGCTACCTCTCTTCCCGAAGCAACGACCTTAAGTCCTCGCTCTTTCGCCACAGAGCTTCGACTTGGGGGGCTCCTGTTCTGGACTGGGCCCAACCTCGCGGTCCAGCCCAATAACACACAAAGCCGATTAAGTGGAATAACCTGACCGGGCACGCACCCCCCTAGGACGGGCAGGATACATTCCCCGCCGGGCAGGACGGCACGTCCCGAAGCGTCCTCGACGCCCCCTTTTAGCCGAACAGAACGCCCCCGGGCCATCGGGCGAGACCACATGGCTCTTCCGCGCCCTCGCGTGCTCCTCTCCGCAGGGAGAACAACGCGCCTCCGGAGAACCTCCTGAACTCCCCTCCACGGGGAGAACAACGTGTCAGCCGCACGCTCTCCACGTGCTCCCCTCCGCGGGGACACGTCAGCAGCCAACTGCCCACCTCCGAAAGAGCAGGTCAAACTCACTTTCCGGAGATCAAGGAGCGGTTGGACTAGGGCGAAGACCACGTCCTGGTCTTCACTACGCCACGTAAGCCCTAGCAGTCATCTGGGTTGGGCCTGACAATCCAGCCCAACGCAAGTGACCGTTGGCCCAGCGCTGGGGTCTCTCTATAAATACCCTCTTCCTCAAGAGGGTCAGGTAATTCACTTCTTACCCCAATTATGTACTTTGCTCTCACTTTGCCCAACTTCTTACTTTGGCGTCGGAGTGTCTTGCAGGTACACCCCTCTTCTCCTCCTCATCACCGGTGAACAGGTAGCAGTCCAACAGCGTGTGGCCGGCCCGTGATCCCCTTCTGATCAGGTCAGATCACACACACACACACACACACACACATATATATATATATATATATATATATATATATATATATATATATATATATATATATATATATATATATATATATATATATATATATATATATATATATATATATATATATATATATATATATATATATATATATATATATATATATATATATATATATATATATATATATATATATATATATATATATATATATATATATATATATATATATATATATATATATATATATATATATATATATATATATATATAACATCTTCTGTCTATAAACTAACTGTTAAGAGTGAGATGAAAACTAGTTTAACATATTTGAGTCTGAATTTATTTGATCTCTACCAAATTTTTGTATAAATTTAATACAGTATGATTATTATGCTAACTAATAGTACATATACTAAAGGATTTTCAATTGAAAAAAAAAAGGTAGGTGTTAAATAAATTCCTAACTTTGGTGAAAACACGGAGTTGCATGTGAGTTTATAAAAAAGAAAAAGAAAAATTAAATTTCTGAAACTGATCTCGCTGACTTTGGTTTGTAGCAAGCATTGACTACTATGTAGTACATGATTATAAAGGAAGTAAAAGAGTTAGGTGACTCAGCAAGGTAGATATGAATGAGTTTAAGAATAAAGGCCTTCTTTTCTTCAAAGTCATGGAGAGTATATAAACCAGTCACATGCATTGATACTATTTGAAACCTTTCTCTCTCTCTTTCTCTCTCACTTTTAGTGATCAAATAGTAGTGAAGAGTTTTGAGGGTGAAAAAAAAAAGAATCCATGGGAAGGCCTCCTTGCTGTGACAAAGTTGGCATCAAGAAAGGTCCATGGACACCTGAAGAAGATATCATCCTTGTTTCTTACATCCAAGAACATGGTCCCGGAAATTGGAGATCCGTTCCTACTAATACAGGTATTTTTTAAACTACAAATTGTTAGTATAATATCTAGCGTCATTAAGACTACGATGATTGATAATTTTTTCTTGTGATCTATATATATATTTGAATAAAATTGATATATAGTTGAATTATTGGATCAAAAGGGTTGTCAAGGTGCAGCAAAAGTTGCAGACTTAGATGGACAAATTATCTAAGGCCAGGAATCAAGAGAGGAAACTTCACTCCTCATGAAGAAGGAATGATTATTCATTTGCAAGCTCTTCTTGGTAACAAGTAATAATCTTCAATCTCATAATTCTTCTCTTAATTATTCATTAAAATAAAATGAAAGAAAAGTAGTAATAACAATAATAATTCATTCATATAGTATGAATTATTTTTATTGATTATTTTTACAATTATTTACAGACATTTAAGATGTGTATGAATTAAATTAATATTTTTGAGCAGATGGGCAGCCATAGCTTCATACCTTCCACAGAGAACAGACAATGATATAAAGAATTATTGGAACACACATCTAAAGAAAAAGCTTAACAAATTTCAAGCTGCAGCTTTAGAGTCATCAAACTCAACAACTTATGCATCAAAAAGTTTTAGTGACAGAAGCATAGATATTACCAACAACCATGCTTCGTCGCTAAAGCTTAGTACTAATAATCAAAATTCTCATCAATCTTCTTCATCAACATATGCTTCAAGCACTGAGAATATTTCAAGGCTCTTAGAGGGTTGGATGAGATCTTCACCAAACTCACAACAACAGATCAAAGGAAATTACCAATATGGCCATCATCAAGAGTTTCAAAGCAATGGTGATGATAATGTTATTATTGATGATGATAATAATAGCTTTGAAAATAATGGGAATTTGTCAGTGAAGTCTGCTTCAGTTCCAGCTGATTTAAACCTTCAAAACCATCATCATCAGCAGCAGCAGAAAACTAGCAAAGATGAAATGGTTTCTCATGATCAAGAGTTTGATTCTATTCTTTCATTTGAGAATCTCAACAATGGTGTTGCTTGGGACAAGTCAACTTGTGACTCCATGCCTGCTGAAAAGTGTTCTTCTTCTTCTCAGAAGAGTATCAAGAATTTATGCAACGCTCCTCCTCCATTGTCATTTCTTGAGAAGTGGTTATTGGATGAAAATGTTGGTCAGGTTGAAGAAATGATGGAATTATCATCACCAATGTTCTAACTTGGAAGAAAATATTCATCAAATAATTAATCCCTATAAGTTTGGGATATGTGAGGAAAATATTATTTAAATTAATTATATATGGTAGTATCATGATAAATTCAGAGAAAAACAAGATAAAGAAAATTCTCTGATTATTATAAGATTAGGGTTTAATTTTTATATTACATAGGTTGAGGGATCTTAGAAGTTAGGATCTCTTTCAACTTGTAACTTGAATTGTTTAATTATTTCAAGTACTAAGTTTAATTTAGTGCATGTTGTTGTTCTTTTTCCTTGTAGAAAAACTACAAGTTAATGTTAACTCAGCCTAATTAGTAATACAGCAGTTATTTGTGTTCATTCGACTATGTAATAAAATATATTAATTTTTTTATATCCTAAAATCTTGATAGGTATTACTACTTTATATATATATATATATATATATATATATATATATATATATATATATATATATATATATATATATATATATATATATATATATATATATATATATATATATATATATATATATATATATATATATATATATATATATATATATATATATATATATATATATATATATATATATATATATATATATATATATATATATATATATATATATATTTTCATGATGGAAAATTTTACAAGCCTATAGTTTATATTTTTTCATCTTGTCTGTTTATTTTTGGAAAACATAAAAGAAATTATTAATATAAAAAGTATTAATAACTACTTTTTTCGATTTTTATTATGAGTTTAATAGTAGTGCTATGTCAATGTAAGACAGTTTTACACATGCGACCAATCAAAATATTTATAATTGTTAAGTAATATCAGTATTTTAAAAATAAAAATATGTTTTATTCTTGAAAAATGATTGTGATTGGTTGACAGAGTAAAATATTTTATACTATCAGTACATTTTCTTTTTTCTCTTTTATTATAAAAAAATTATTTTTGAAATTGATTAAATAATAAACATATTTGATTAAATATAAGTCAGATATATTTATTATTTATAAAATATAAAAATAGAATTTATTTCTTATAATAAGCATAAATATTTTAATAATTGTCACACTGAAATTTCAACCATTTTCTTTTCTGTTTGTTAGAGTATACTATAATTTTATATTGATCCCTACTAAGAAGGGCAAAATGGAAGGAAAAATCAAAGACAATTTCATTGGAGAAGGATTCAGTATACATGATGTAGTATTAATTAATTAGCATACATATTAGCTCAATTGTCATTAATAATTGATGTAGAAAGGAAATAATGATGTGACTATGGAGACCAAGTGTACAAGTTAATGAACACAAAAAAAAACTCATTATATATTTCCACAAAAAAGGTTCTTTGATATTGCCGCCGGTAAACTATACTTGCTTAACTTTTCATAATATTAGGAAAAATCATAATTGAATATTAATTATTACTAAATAAGTCGAATACACACAAAAGAAAAACCTCTCATTTTTTCACCTTCATTAGTAATTTTTTTAATCAATAATTTAGTTAAATTAATGAAGGACATTTTAAATATAGTAATTTATAAGAAAGATATATAAGCAATACTGACATGCAATTTGGAATCTAATTATTACACATGAAGCTATTTTGTATTAAGATCCAAAAAGCAACAGTTATTTTTATGTGAGATTAAAAAATAAAAATAGTACTGTTTTTTTATATTATTATTACTAAGCATAAGTAAAATGAGGTATGTGAATTGAGTATAATAATAGAATGGTGTCACGAAAGTCTTGAGAACAAATAAGGTAAAATAGGTGGCTGAAACTTCCTTTCTTTTTGGAATTTTTGGTATGAGAAGCATGTGAACTTCTTTTTACCTTTCGGTGTAAGAAAAGCTGGCAACCATTGAAAAATATCATGAATGTCATATATGAATATATCTTTGATTTCACATGATATATGCAACAAATGGTCTATGCAAGCTGGACCAGTTATATCATGCCATAACCAATATTATTTTATCTTAGTTAAGAATATTATACACAAGTTATAGAAAAACAGAAATTTTGAAAGTGAAGTAGGATAGTACTATAGTAGGAGATGAATAATAATGCTAGTAAACAATGAATTTATAGTGATTCAGATCAATAATAAGAGGCTGTTAAGAGCAATAATTTGATGTTAAATTTGTGGATAGCCTACCTTGACTTTAAGACTATATTTATTGCAGCGGCTTGGGACTAGATAGGGCATGTTGTGATTGGCAGTAGACAACTAAAGATGAGGTGCATCATTAAATTCTTACTTTCTCAATCTTATTTTATGTGTTCCGTTTTAATTTTGAGGACTTCTTAAAATATTGTTTTCTTTGTTTTCAATCATAAATTATTTTAAATATTTTACATTGATTAAAAATATGGCTAATGAATACGCGAAAGACAAATATAACTAATAAAATTGTTTTTTAAGGATGAAACGAGAAATTACATGAGAGAGAAAATTAAAAAATATAGAAGATGCAAGACACTATTATAAAATAGATCTTTTGTAATACTGGATTATAACAATAGCTCCGTTAATCGAAGTAATAATTTATTTTTTGGCGTTTGTTTTTATTTTATTTAGTAAAAGACATTTTAGTCGATGTTAACAACTGTGGTGAAATGTATATGGAGTGTGAGAGTTCAAATCCTAACACCAACAATTTTTTATTTTTTCGTTACTAAATGAGTCTGTCCTTATATTTCACCACAATTCATATTATCAACTATGGCGTAAGGTGCTAACATTTCACACCACTACAAAAATATACCTTTGGTAACAATAAATTACAACGGTCTGACAATTAATTGTGGTAATACCGCATTTTTTGATTCATTTTGTTTATTTATATACACAAAAAGACATTGCATTACAATCAAAACAATTAACACTGATTATACAGTCATGGAGTGACAGGTTCACCGTTGTGAAAGGAATTACATTTCATCACGATTTTTTAATAAGACCGTGGTGGAATTGTTTACCCATATATAAGCAAATTAACTCTCGCTTCTTGTTAGTATCGTCGTATCTCTCAAAACAAAATCCTAACACATATTTCTCTCTTCTTTTTCGTCATTAGCTTTCCTATTCTACAATATAGCCATCAATCTTGTTCTTCATAAATAAAGGTATTCTTTTTCTTCATTATTCTCTAATTTTCGTGTATGTTGTTATGTTTCACATGATTTTTTTCTTGTTCAAGAGTTTATGAATTTTGTTGTTGTTGTTGTTGTTGTTGTTGATAAATGTAGATAAATGTTAGTTGACATGAATTTCATATTATTTACTTCGGTTTCACATGTTTTGTTATTGGTTGTTGTTATTGACAAATATTTTTTCAATTCTCTCTTATTCATGTATGTTGTTGTTATGTCGATGTTATTTTTATGTATGTTAATAAAATTTTGTTGGATTACAATGTCATGCTAGTTTATGTTAAGATGTTGTTTTTTATGGTGTTTGTAGGATTACAATTGATTTGTGTTGCTATGAAGAAAAAATACAAGAGAGGATGAAGTTGAAGTGAAAGATGCAAACTTATGTGATAGATCTAGAATAACATACAAGTTTGTAGCTTTCTCCTCAGTTTCACCCTCCGTTCATTTTACAAGTTTGCATATTATGGGTATGGCTCACATGGTGGTTTATCTTAATTTTCCACAAATTTTTTCTTCAATTAAAGGTATGTATGTTGTTGACAAATGTTGTGGTTTGTTTTTGATGTTGCTTTTTATTGTTTGTTAATAAATGGGTTTTCATACGCAACTAGCAAGTGATTATGGTTCTTTGCTTATCATTGATGCAGCTGGTTGTGTGAACATAAATCTAAGAGAGTTGCGAACTCATGTTTGCTGTGGAAATATTACATGAGTCTTTCATATAATATTTCCATAGTGAACACATATTTTCTACTCTTCATTCTACTTTATACTCTTCATAACTTTCAGGAACATTAGTTATCAATGTTCTCCTAATCTATGTTAATTAATTGACGTATGTTGTTGATAGATGTTGTTAGTGAGTTTGTTATATCATATGTGATTGCTTGTTTCTCCAATATGTCATTGGACTTGCATTCATTTAAATATATTTTTGAGATGATAATCAGAAAAATTAAATTATTCTCAAAAATCAACTTAGATGATCTAATATTTTTTGAATTGCACGTATCTCGTAATTCATGAATTCCTCTTTAGTGTATATAATTTAATTCAACGCCACAAATTCTTCAAAACAATGATGATAAATGGATGTCATTCTGAATCTTTTGAAGGTGAGAAAAGTACACAAGAAGGGGGTGGTGGTTAAATTGTGTTTTCCATTTTCTTAATTCTGCGTCTGATCAGAATTCAAAATATGAACTAGTGTTCAGATTCTAATTATACTTAGCAACGGATGTTAAAAGAAGCAAATAAATAATAACAGAAGACACAAAGATTTATACTGGTTCCTCTCAACTGAGAGTAGTCCAGTCCCCTTGCTTCACATGAGATTTTCAATATAACCAAATCATAATTACAATCGCTTATGCATTATGCATAAGTCTTTTACACTGCTCAGAACCTAGGGCCAAGACTTCCTGCGCAAGTCCTACAGACTAAAGACTTTTGCTCTAAGTTCCATGAAACAAGCCTCCCTGCTTGAACCCCTCAGGTTTAAGACTTACACTTTAAATTTCATGAACCGAGCCAACCTGCTCAAGCCACACTGACTCAATACTTTTGCTCCAAGTTCCATGAAACGAGCCTCCCTGCTTAAACCCCCAAGGTTCAAGACATACGTTCCAAATTTCATGAACCGAGTCACCTTACTCAATCAATCTACTTGATTAAGACTTTCATTGCTCAACCACTTAACATAAGACTTACATGGCTTAAGCATCTTGGCGAGATACTTTCTTGCTTGTGTCCCAATGATATAAGACTTCTGCTCAATCAATCCATTAGATTAAGACTTTCATTGCTCAAGCACATATCATGAGACT